AAAAATTAAAAATATAATATTATATCCAATAATTCCACTACTCAGTATTTATCCCCAAAAATGAAAACATTAAGTCAAAAGATATATTCATCCCTACATTTATTGCAATTATTTTTTATAATTTTTTAATTATGTTAGTCACCATACAGTACATCATTAATGTTGTGTTATTTACAGTAGCCAAGATATGGAAGCAATCTGAGTCTATTGATAATATATATACGTATATCATGAATATATATATATTCAGTCATCTTAGTCATCTTATTCAGTCATAAAAATGGATGAGATCTTACCATTTGCAAAGCAGGGAGGGACCTAAAATGTATTATGCTAAGTGAAAAAATCAGACAAAGATAAATACCATATGATTTTACGCATTTGTGGAATCTTAAAAAAAATGAAATAAACAAATGAAAAACAGAATCATTCTTGTTAGAGAACAAGTCGGTGGTTGCCGGTGGGGGGATGGGCAAAATGGGTGAGGGTGCTGGGAGATATAGCCCTCCAGTTATGGAATGAATACATCACAGGAATAAAAGGTACAGCATAAGGAATGTAGTCAATGATATTGTAATAGCGTTGTATGGTGACAGATGGTAGCTATACTTGTGGTGAGCATAACATAATGTATATACTCATGAAATCACTGTCTTGCACACCTGAAACTAATATTCATTGATTGTCAACTACACTTGAATAGAAAAAAAATTTCAAAAATAAGTCTTGGAAGAACTGTAAGTGCATATTTCTAAGTGAAACAAAGCCAGTCTGAAAAAAAAATAGTGTATGATTCCACCTATGGCATTGAGGGAAAGACATATCTATAGAGACAGTAAAATCCAAGGGTAATAATGAAAGGATAAATCTGTAGAATGCAAGGGATTTTCAGGGCAGTGGAACTGATCTGTATGATACCTAAAAGATTGATACATGATATTTTGCATTTGTGAAAATCCATACAATGTGCAACACAAAGAATGAACACTAATACAAACTATGTACTGTAGTTAGTAAGCATGTATCAATATTGATTCATTAGTCACACTAATACAACGATACTAATCAGCAGAGAAACTGCTGGTGGAGAGGAGATATATGGAAATTCTGAGTAATTTCTGCTCATTTTTTTCAGTAAACCTAAAACTTTTCTAAAAGTGAAGTCTATTGATTTAAAAAGGAAGGACTTTTACCATACCCAAATAAATAGGGTTAAAGAGGTAGATTCCAGATAGAGGCATGAATAAGAGTAAGCTAAGGTGAATTCAAATTGTAGAATGCTGCAACTAGAGAACTAGAGTAGAGCATACATAGAGGAATATCCTGAGATAACAAAGCTAGAAAAGTAACTTCACATGGAACCAAAGAGCTTATATTTTATTTTGGAGACATTAAGTAGCCACTAAAGTCCTAAAATTGGAGTGGAAAAGCAAATGGAATGGCATAGGAGAACCAATCAGAAGACAGGGTACCAAACAAGTATGATAGGATTGGTACCTGACTAGAAATGGCAAGATGTTACAGAGGTCAACATGACTTGGTAATCAAATGAGTATGGGATTTTAGGAGAGTTAGAGTATTACTGAAGTTTGTAGCCTTAATAGTTAGGAAGAGGTTGTGCCATTCACTTACATAAAAGTTATAAGAGTTGCTGGCATACCAAGATGCTTTAGAAATAATGCTTACAGTAGCTAGCATGATGACCTTGGGGTTAACAGGAAGGAGAGACTCATTTTGGTGATTTTAAAAAATAATTTAATTACCATACTATTAAAAGTCTATACATTTCAGGCATATTATTAAATAAGCCAGATTGTTAGAGCGTGGTATAGTTTTGATGGCTCTTAATTTAAGGTTTTCAACTCTGGTAAAAGGTTGACTTACATAATTCAATATCTGCATATGTTTAGCATGTGCAGCTCATATGGGGTCACTGTTAAACTAGCCAGTGATGTAAATATTAGCTTAGAGTCTAGGGTATTATAGTCAATTGACAGTTATTGCAGGTCATGATCTGAAAGTGTAATTTTTAAGTCCTTCAGGGTCTTTTGAAATGTTTGATGAATTGTATTTTAAAAACTGTCAATAGGCTGTTAATTTCTGTTTGTAATCTGTGTTTAATTTGCACATCAATTGGACTTTAAGTAGGCATATGACTTGATATGGCCAGTTGGTGTCTGAATGATGCTGAAAATCTTTGGAGAATGAGGACAGATTATTACACTATTAAGGGAAATGTAAATTGAACAAAGGCGTATTTAAGCATTTGTGTGGTAAAGGGAGACACTGATAGCTACTTTTCATCTGCAGTTTGACCAATTTTTCTACTAAAACTCTGAGTATGCAAAGATGAATTGAGATCTATAATTATCTTGGGTAAATGAGAGCCTTATATAGAAACCTATTTACGTCATTGATGGTTACTATTATGTTGAGCATAAAGTGAAGGTTTAGGGAAAAGATAAACAGCAATTAATTTAATATGTGTTATGTAATATCATTATAGCAAAGTCATATGATGAGTATAGTATAAAAATGCATGTACATCAAAGTAATTTTGGAAGGCTAACTGAAAAACTTGTAGTTTAAAAGGGGATGCAGAGGCCATTTTTTTATGATTTTATTTGTTTATTTGAGAGAGAGAGAATGAGAGATAGAGAGCATGAGAGGGAAGAGGGTCAGAGGGAGAAGCAGACTCCCTGCTGAACAGGGAGCCTGATATGGGACTCGATCCCAGGACCCTGGGATCATGACCTGAGCCGAAGGCAGTCGCTTAACCAACTGAGCCATCCAGGTGCCCCAGAGGCCATTTTTTAATTCAGTGTTTACTCTGTATTGAGGCTTCTCTAATAAATTAATAATCACAGAAGGAAATCTCATAACTGAAAAGTTGGGTTTGACAAATTGCTCCTTGAAAGGATTTAGAGGTAGTGAGCCATAAGTAAATTGATAGGGGGAAAGTTTAAAATATTTTTTTAATATTCTATGGGGATCTGCAGTCATAGGAAGTAGACTATGTTCTCCTTCTTGGTTTCCATGCAGAATTTAAGTTTCTAACATTTTTTAAACCCTTGTGTAGGGCGCCTGGCTGGCTCAGTTGGTTGAGCGACTGCCTTCGGCTCCGGTCATGATCCTGGAGTCCCAGGATCGAGTCCCACATCGGGCTCCCTGCTCAGCATGGAGTCTGCTTCTCCTTCTGACCCTCTTCCCTCTCGTGCTATCTCAAATAAATAAATAAAATCTTAAAAAAATAAACCCTTGTGTAATTCTATTAACAGTACATTTTATGGTTGTTTTTATCACGAATATTGGTGACTGTTGTGTTATTTATATAGGAGCTCCTTCAATTGAGATGACCACTTTAGTGTTGCATGAGACCTGTTAAGTGTGTTTTATTATATCACACAATTTTGGTGTGGGTTTTTTTTTTTGTTGTTGTTGTTGTTAATGGCTTTAATTCAACTATCATTGTTGAGCCCAGGTGACAGATCTTAAGTCAACTAATAGCATTTTTTTCTAGCCTGCTTTTTGCACTAAAAGTATGTGTTTTGAAAGTTTATGTTACTGTTACTGTTGTTTTAAGGAATAAGATTTAGGGGGACTCTGAATATATTTCCAATTGATTCATTGTTGTCCCCTAGCTGTTGTGATCTTTGAAGCAAGAAAAAATGAGGGGATGGCAAAGAAGATAAAAGGATATTATTAATAGTAGATAATTGTATGTGGGATCAACATAAACACTATCCATTGTAGATTTCTATAATATGTAATAATTTAGGAAAATTATAGGCAAGGATGTTTCAGAACATCTGTTAAATATTACTGGTTTCTGAGCTTCTGTCCAAATGAAGGCAAGATTACTGTTGAGGCAATAGTTTAAAATACATTGTAAAGTACTATGGTTTACTTATAGTGATGTTAATATCTGTAATATTAGGCTAACCCCCCCTAACCTCTGCTCAAAGATGTTCACTCACAAATCCCAACCTCATAAGGGGTAAGTAGACAACAATTTTAATTTGTTACATTTTTCATGATGACATATCTGCGGCTACCACAAGTGTAATGTGGATAATACTTGAAAGATATTAATTAAGAAATTTAAAATGTGTGAAAACTATTTCACCTTACATAAGAAAACAAACAGAATTCTAGATACTACTCAATGATGTTGATATTTGTTATTAAACTGAAAATAGTTTGAATATTTTGATAGGGGAGTTACTCCTTATTGATAAAGAATTCAAATTAGAGCCACAGCATTCATCTTAGAGATTATAACTAAAAGGGTAGAACATATTCCAAGGGGCACCTGGGTGGCTTAGTTGGTTAAGCATCAGACTCTTGGTTTTGGTTCAGGTAGTGATCTCGAGAATATGAGATTGAGCCCTGCATTGGGCTCCGCATTCAGTGCAGAGTCTGCTTCAGATTCTCTCTCCCTCTGCTTCTGCCCTCACTTGCACACTCTCTCTAAAATAAATAAATAAATAAAATATTTTTTTTAAAGAACATATTCCAAGTCTTATTTTCTTTTTCTTTTTTTTCCAAGTCTTATTTTCTTTAATAATTCTGAAGCTTAGTGAATGTACATCCCGTCTTAACAGGACCACTGTTAAGTTAGATGCTACTAACACATCAGTATATTATAATGATTAAAAAGAAAGTTACTTATTAAACAAAATGATGTTTTGCATAAAGATTTTTATTTATTTTTATGGGTAAAACAAATTGCATCTTATAAATATTTTGAGAGTGAGAGCAAGAACAAGGAATAGATAAAGTTTATGGATATAGGAATATTTTAAAAAGTATAAAACAATACTAAATCCTAGGTACCATTAATTGCCCAAAGAGATACTAGGATATAATAAAACTTGATTTAAAAAAAAAGCCAACAGGAAAGAATTCAGATAATTATTTTTTTACTATTTCATAGCATCAATTTTGATGTGATTTTCCTTTTCCAGATGTAGCAATTTAACATGCACTGTCTCTTTTAGGACTGGATCTGCCATTTATGATGATGCCTCATCCCCTACTTCCAGTCAGCTTACCTCCTGCATCAGTTGCCATGGCAATGAATCAGATGAACCATCTTAATACTATTGCCAACATGGCTGCTGCAGCCCAGATTCACAGTCCACTCTCCAGAGCTGGGGCCTCTGTTATAAAGGTAAGAACCATGATTTGGAAGAGGACACAGGTTTTAATTACATGTAAATTTTGAGAAAATATTAGCAATACCACTGAATCTTCAGTATAAACACACAGCTCATTGACTCAGTTGATTAGCATATAGTATTGATTTTATTCCTGACTAGGCCTGCTAAAGTGTTTTGTTGTTGTTTGTTTGTTTTTATTCCATGACCACAGATCTCACCTTTAATTCTAGCTTCATGTCTTGTAATCATGAACAGAACACAGTGTGTGGGAGGCATAGCAAGACTAATGACACAGAATAGTGTACAGAAATCATTACCATTGCTAGGGTGAAATAAAGTAAGCACTGTGTTCTTTTTGGTGTTTGGGAGGCAGTTCTGGGGTAGTATATACCATGCAGGACTTGTAGTCAGAAAGAACTACGTTTTGATTCTGATCCTGCCACTTTAGCTCAATAACCTTGGATATGACATTTAACCTGCATGAACTTGTTTCCTCAACTGTTAACTAAATGTTATAGTAATGATCTATCCCACTTACTTCATTGGCTGTCCAGAGATAATGTGAGTAAAACATAGGTTAAAAACTGTGAAACATTAATAGCATTATCATCATTAGAATACTATTTTTTTCAAAACTTCATGACCATTGGGTAATGAAACACAAATAATATTTTATAATCTGTCCTGATGTCTTCTTTTAGTTTGGCATGGTGCCTCTCTGCCTTCTCTCCAAGTATGATGTAAACTTGGTTTTTAATATTTTTTTCTTTTGGCAAGGAGGTGATATAAGGGTACATAGAATCAAAAGAGTATAGTTAATAAGAGCAACCCATTAACTTGTCCCTTTGTTCTTTTATTTTTTCCACAAATATTATACTCTTGATGTTTACATATTGTATTGGGCAATATGAGATATAGGTAAAGAATACATAATCCCTGACTTCTAGTACTCACAAACTAAATGTGATAGAAACAACAAGTACCCATTTAGCTTGCAATAACAAGACAGACTGTGATGAATGGCATAGAATATCATCACGTGTTACGGGAATTAGAGGAGGGACTTATTATACCTAGCTTGGCAAAAAGAGGGGGAAAAGATCACAAAAAGCATTGCAGTTGTTGGATTTGACCTGGACCTTGGCAATATTGATATGATTGTAATAGATGTACATGGGGGAATGTAAAAGAAAGAGGAAATGTGAAATTCTGGATTTTTTTTCATTTTAAATTAGCTTCCAGCTTTGGGGATTTTTAAAATAATGAGGAAAATCTGTGACCTAAACTTTGTAAGAAAGGACAAGAAAAATTGATAATTTTTATTAAGCTCCATATATATTTATATAGCCAGGTAGAAGTATGCTTCCCACAAAGATTGTCGCCCACAATAGATCAGTCTATCGTAGCTAATCAAAACTTTGTTGTTTGAATATTTGATCAGAGGCTAAACTAGGAAACAGAATTATCTTTGAGAAAAAAATCATCCATGAACATATTTAAAAGATGGAATAAGTTTCCCATGATTTTGAAATTGGGTGACCTACTAAGTAAATGACCTCACACAAAATTAGAAAACTATTAAGAAAGAAAGCATGTTTTAAAGTACTTGCTTTGAAATGATGAAAAACCACTTTCAGTAGAGGTATGTTTATGGCTTTTCAAAAATACATTTATTTAGCTTTCTTAATGATGATTATTCAAACTGAATCAGCTACATTTTGGTTGAATGCTTGGGACATTTGGTAGCTTCACCATTATTTGGAGTGAAGAGGCATTTGGGGAGGAGTTCATGACTAGCATTTGGTTATTGGTGGTGATGATGATGGAAATGGAAAGAATAATTATCTTCTCCTTAAATAATCCAAATATTGTTAACATAGTAAAGCAATAAAACTATATTTTCTACTGCTGATTTATTTCATATGCAACTTTAGAAAAAGTCAGAACTTTTACAGACATAAAATTGGATATTGCTTTTTAAAAGTTGATATTAGATAACATGCTTATTTAAGTCTTAACAAATATGAAAATTAGATCTACTTTCATATAATTGTTTTGACCAAAGTCAGTTGAAAACAATACATTTATTTTGAATGCTCTTTGATAAAATTTTTCTACAGATCTATAGAAGTAGATTTCCATCAGAGGATGGTAGGGAAATGAAGAAAATAAAGTTTTATTTTGTTTTGTTTTTAAAGAGTTGATTTCCGTGAATAGTGAGAAGCTTTTGACATTGTTTCCACGTTGTTTATTTTTTTGCAAAGATATTATTATATAATTGTAACTATTAGTTTTAAAAATAATTCACAGGAAATAGCATAATAAAACTTTCTAATTAATTGTCAAATGGGTGTTAATATATTGAAATTTTTAGCACTCCTTTCAAGAATAGTTATCAATATGATACTAAGCTATAAGGACAGAAATTTCACACTTCAGTTGATGTATACTTTAATAGAAATATGTTTTCAATATGCTTCTTGGTGAAGAACACTTTCAAGTTCAATCTATCATAATCCTACTGGCAGTGGGCAAACCTATGTAATTGAGACCTTTTCATATACTACTATTTGGAGGCTATGGGGACTATTTAAACAAAACGTTTTCTCTATTTACATTTACAGATTTTTAAGTTTTTATTTGACTTTCAGTTAGTTAATAGACAATATAATATTAGTTTCCAAATCTATAACATTGAGATTCAACACTTCCATACGACACCCAGTGCTTATCACAGCAAGTGCACTCCTTAATCCCTACCACCTATTTAATTCATCCCTCCACCACTCTCCCATTTGGTAACCATAAGTGTTTTCTATAGTTAAGAGTCTGTTTCTTGGTTTGCCTTGCTCTCTTTTTCCAATATGCTTATTTGTATTGTTTCATAAATTCCATATATGAGTGAAATCATATGTTTCTTGTCTTGTCTTTCTCCAAATGACATTTCACTAAGCATAATACTCTCTGCTCATCCATGTCATTGCAAATGACAAGATATCATCTTTTTTATAGCGGAATAATATACCACTCTATACATATATACCACTTAATTATCCATTCATCAGTTGATGGACACTTGGGCTCTTTCCATAATTTGGCTATTGTAGATAATGCTTCTATAAACACCGGGGTACAGGTATCCCTTTGAATTAGTATTTTTGTATTCCTTGGGTAAATACTTGGTAGTGCAATTGCTGGATTGTAGGATGGTTCTATTTTTAACTTTTTGAGGAACCTCCATACTGTTTTCCAGAGTGACTGTACCAGTTTGCATTCCTACCAACAGCACAAGAGTGTTCTCCTTCCTCCACATGCTCACCAACACCTGTTGTTTCTTGTGTTGTTGATTTTAGCCTTGCTGACAGGTGTGAGGAGATATCTCATTGTACTTTTGATTTGCATTTCCCTGGTGATTGATGTTGAGCAGTTTTTCATTTTTCTGTTAGCAATTTGTATGTCTTCTTTGGAAAAATATCTATTCATGTCTTCTGTCTATATTTAATTGGATTATTCCTTTTGGTGGTGTTGAGTTTTATAAGCTCTTTATATATTTTGGATACTAATCTTTTATCAGATATGTCAATTGCATATATCTTCTCCAATTCCTTAGGTTTCCTTTTAGTTCTATTCATTGTTTCCTTCACTGTGTAGAAGTATTTTTTATTTTAATTTAGTCCCAATAGTTTATTTTTACTTTTGTTTCCCCTGCCTCAGGAGCAAACCTAGAAAACCAATGTCAAAGAGGTTACTGCCAGTGTTTGCCTCTAAGATTTTAAAGGTTTTATGTCTCACATTTAGGTCTTTAATTCATTCAGAATTTATTTTATGTTTGGTGTAAGAAAGTGGTCCAGTTTCATTCTTTCCCAAGTTGTTGTCCAGTTTTCCCAACACCATTTGTTGAAGAGACTGCCTTTTTCCCATTTTGTATTTTTCCCTCTTTATCAGAGATTAATTGACCATATTATTGTAGCTTCATTTTTGTGATTTGTCTTCTGTTCCTTTGATCTATGTACTTGTTTTTGTGCCAGTACCATCCTGCTTTGATCACTACAGCTTTGTAATATCACTTGAAATCTGGAATTGCGATGCCTCCACCTTTGCTTTTCTTTTTCAAGATTGCTTTGGCTATTCAGGGTCTTTTGGGGTTCCATACAAATTTTAGTATTGTTTGTTCTAGCTCTGTGAAAATTGCTGTTGGTATGTTGATAGGGATTGCATTAAATGTGTAGCTTGCTTTGGGTAGTATAGACATTTTAACAATATTTATTCTTCTAATCTATGAGCATGGAATATCTTTCCATTTCTATGTGTCATCTTCATCAATGTTTTATTGTTTTCACAGTACAAGTCTTACATATTGTGGGTAGGTTTGTTCGTAAGTACCTTATGGATTTTGGTGCAATTATAATTGGGATTGATTCCTTAATTTCTCTTTCTGCTACTTCTTTTTTGTTGTATAGAAATGCAAGAGATTTCTGTACATTGATTTTGTATCCTGTGACTGTACTGAATTTGTTTATCACTTCTAGCAGGATTTTTCTTTTCTTTTCTTTTCTTTTTTGTGGAGCCTTTTCAGTTTTCTACACATAGTATCATGTCATCTGCAAATAGTGTAAGTTTTACCTCTCCTTTGCCAAGTTAGATACCTTTTATTTCTTTTTGTTTTCCAATTGCTGTGGCTAGGACTTCCAGTACTGTGTTAAATAACAGTGGTGATAGTGACATCCCAGTCTTTCTACTGACCATAGAGGAAAATCTATCAGTTTCACCCCATTGAGGATGATAATATCTGTGGGTTTTCATATATGGCCTTTATTATGTTAAGATATGTTCTTTTATTTCTTTTAAATATTTATTTCTTTAAGAGAGAGGGAGAGAGAGAGCATGAGAATGGGGGAAGAATCAGAATCCTCAAGCAGACTTCCTGTTGAGTGCAGACCCCGACTCAGGGCTTGATCTCAGGACCAGTGAGATCATGACCTGAGCCAAAAGCAAGAGTCAGACACAGTCA